ATCAAAGACACCATATATTCATCCTAACGTCAGCAAAGATGTGTTGTCCACAGAAGTGTTATTGAACAAGTTTCTTTAACGTCTAGAATCCTATTCTCCTTATTGTGGGGAAGAGGTATCTTTGTTATTTAAATGTAGAAGAAAGGTGGCTAAGTAATCATAATCTAGTCACTAAGGGAATGCATGCTTATTTGCTCCTAGGGTCTGCTGGTCAAGGAGCCAATGAGGGCAAGGTCACAGGTGCACTCTTTGTAGGAGCCTGTGAGCTTTGCATGTTCTACTCCAGGGAATCTATCCCTAACCTCATGCATCCATCTCATAATAGCATACCCTTGTTCACAAGGGAAGCCTGAAAAACTGTATGGAGAGGTCAGTCCATATCCATCATCATTGCTAGAAAAACAACTCACAGCACTTCCTTTATTTACCAGCAATGAAAGTAAATAGCATTGTCCTCACATTTAGACAACACATTATGACTAAGAAATAAGGAACACAAATGCTCAGTGGGATTTATTTTCCTCAGAGAAGTGATGTGAAATAGATAGTCAGTGAAGCATGAATGTGAGTTATAAGAAAGTATTTTTTTACAAGCAAATTTTTTAAGCATACATAAAATATACAGGAATGATTTTTAATGAGTAATACAAACTTGTTGAAAAAATATGACTCACTATTCACTTCCCTCTTTTTCTTTTATTTCAGAACCTACAGATAGACCACCTATGCTGTTAATTGCAAATTCTGAAACAATTGAGGTCTTCCATCTTAATGGAAGTAAAATGGCAACCCTGAGCTCAGTCAATGGAAATGAAATTCATACTCTGGATTTTATTTACAATGAAAATATGATTTGTTGGATTGAATTAAGAGAATCTTCAAATCAGCTTAAATGTATCCAAATAACAAAAACAGGAAGATTAACAGATGAATGGGCAACTAATATTCTCCAGTCTTTTCACAGTGAGTATTCCAATTCATATTATATATCACCATTTAAGGGTTTTTTTTTTCAAACTCGTAGACAGCATTCTCAGCATTTTCTACCATAACTTATGGCTGTTAAAAAGCCATCTATGCAAATATGAATACACACAAATAAATGTACTCACTCTAAATTTTGCGTATACATATACACATGCAGTTTCGCTATTTAAGTAGGTAGTAAATTGCAGAGTTAATTTTAATTCTTTCTTTAATGCTTATTGCAGTGTCACCTAGCTGGGAATTGTGATTTTTCACTGAATGATAGTTGAAACTGTGATAGTGAAAGTGGGATTTTCAAAAAAGCAAGACAGAGAGTTGATAATTATAAGCTCATCAAATGTAGTATTTTTTAATATACCTAGAAAACCATTAGGTTTATACCAGTTGGAAGCTACTACCTGTATTTTTGGACTTTTCTAGTGTATTGGGGCTGTTACACATTCTGTTCCAAAGAATGACTTATGGTTTGTGATTTGCTTTGATTTCTCATGTCAGAAATCCCAGAATTAGTAACTGTCCCTCTCTCTCTACATAATCACATCAACTGGAATCATGTTCTCTCCCTCCCTCCCTGCTTCCCTTTTCCCCACATAGGAGTGATACAAATTTATTCATGCCTGGGGAAACTTTAGAGCCCTGGTGGCACAGTGGTTAAGAGCTCAGGCTGCTAACCAAGAGGTTGGCAGTTTGAATCCACCAGCTGTTCCTTGGAAGCCCTATGGGGCAGTTCTACTCTGTCCTGTAGGATCCCTATGAGTCAGAATTGACTCAACTGCAATGGATTTGAGTTTGGGGAAACTGTATGCATGGTAATTTCAACATGTGTCCATTTAGTTTAATGGTTTATGTGAAAGAAACGAAAACTTGTTCTTACCAATGCTGCCAACATAAAAATCTATAAAGAAATGAAGAAAGATGTCTACAACAAAGTTAAGAAGGGGGAATAAAAAAAGACTGTTATGATAGAATAAATGTGCTTTTCAGATGTAGGATGTTTAGTGGTTTAAATTCAATAAGCTTTTATTAAAGTGTTTGATATACAATTAAAGGGACTAGTGATTGATGCTGATTAAACATAAGGAAATAGTACTGTGTAATGTTTGATAATTATGATTAGATTAAATAATTTATCAGTGCCAAAATTGTGAATGGAATATAAAGGTATAATTGGATAAGCATAAATGAACAGAAAAGAAATGCTTGACAAGAAGGGCCCAACTACTGAAGACCCTCTTAACATAAATAAAACAATTAATAAAGCCCTTTATTGTAGCAATGGACCAAAAATCTTAGTGAAATGAGTAAACCCATTGCCGTCGATTTATTATGATTCATAGTAACCCTGTAAGACAGAGTAGAACTACCCCATAGGGTTTCCAAGGAGCAGCTGATGGATTCAAACTGCTGACCTTTTAGTTAGAAACCGAACACTTAACCAGTAAAAGGAGTAGACACTGACTATTTCAAGGAGTCTGTGGAGAAATGGTCATTTATCACAAATAGTAAATAACATGTACTAGCAACAAGGAGAAGGAGCCCTGGTGGCACAATATTAAGCAGTTGGCTGCTAAGTGAAAGGTTGATAGTTCAAATCCCACAACAGCTCTGGGGGAGAAAGATCTGCCAATCTGATCCCTGAAAGACAACAGTCTAGAAAACCCTATGAGGCAGTTCTACTCTGTCATATGAGGTCGCTATGTGTCAGAATCTACCCAGTGGCACCTAACAAAACCGGCAACAAGGGAAGACCTGCTTTGTGATGTGAATATTTCAGACATTGAGTTAGCCAGCAGTTGAAAGTTGTTTTTAACACAAGCTCGCAGCCCCTTCCATGTTAATAATTACCTCCTCTAATCCAAATGCGGATCCAGCACTGAAGTGCTCACTCATCTATGCCAAAAAATTTGCAAGACAGCTACCTGGCCAACCACCTGGAAGAGATCCATATTTATGCCTATTACCAAGAAAGGTGATCCCACCGAACGTGGAAATTATTGAAGAATATCATTAATATCACTTGCAAGTAAAATTTTGCTGAAAATCATTCCAAAGTGGTTGCAGCAGTATGTCCACAGGAAACTGCCAGAAATTCAAGCTGTATTCAGAAGACGACATGAAACCAGGGATATCATTGCTGATGTCAGATGGAGCCTGTCTGAAAGCAGAGAATACTAGAAAGATATTTACCTGTGTTTTATTGACTATGCAAAGGCATTCGATTGTGTGGATCATAACAAATTATGGATAACATTGCAAACAATGAGAATTCCAGAATGCTTGATTGTGCTCATGAGGAACTTGTGCATAGACCAAGAGGCAGTCATTTGAACAGAACAAGGGGATACTGCGTGGTTTATTGTCAGGAAAGGCGTGTACCGGGGTAGTATTCTTTCATAATATCTATTCAATCTGTATGCTGAGCAAATAATCCAAGAAGATGGATTATATGAAGAAGCATGGGGCATCAGGATTGGAGGAGGACTATTAACAACCTGCAAGATGCAGATGATACAACTTTGCTTGCTGAAAGTTAAAAGGACTTGAAGCACTTACTGATGAAGATCAAAGACCATAGACTTCAGTATGGATTATACCTCAACATAAAGAAAACAAAAATTCTCACAACTGGACCAATAAGCATCATCATGATAAATAGAGAAAAGATTGAAGTTGTTAAGGATTTCATTTTACTCGGATCCACAATCAACACCCCTGGAAGCAGCAGTCAAGAAATCAAAAGATGCGTTGCACTGGGCAATTATGCTGCAAAAGACCTCTTTAAAGTGTTGAAAAGCAAGATGTCGCCTTGAAGACTAGGGTGCACCTGACCCCAGCCATGGTGTTTTCAAACACGTTGTACGCGTGCAAAAGCTGGACAATGAATAAGGAAAACCAAAGAAGAAATGACGCCTTTGAATTGTGGTGTTGGCAAAGAATATTGAATATACCATGGACTGCCAAAAGAACGAACAAACGTGTCTTGGAAGAAGTACAAACAGAATGCTCCTTAGAAGCAAGGATGGCGAGACTATGTCTAACATGCTTTGGCCATGTTATCAGAAGGGATCAGTCTCTGGAGAAGGACATCATGCTTGGTAAGGTAGAGGGTCAGCAAAAAAGAGGAAGAACCTCGACAAGACGACTGGCATAGTGGCTGCAAAACAGGCTCAAGCATAACAGTGATTGTGAGGATAGCGCAGGACCAGGCAGTGTTTCGTTCTGTTATATGTAGGGTCACTATGAGTCAGAACCAACTCGACGGAACCTAACATTTGACTTCAGCAAATGAAATACTAGACTATCAAATAGCTAGAATATTCACTCAGTTTCCTAGGTAAAATTATTTTCAAAGCTCTCTTAAACAACTTTTTGACTACATATAATTTGTCCTAGTAGTAATAGTTGTTAGCTGCCATTGAGTTAGCTCTGACTCATGGTGACCTCACGTACAACAGAATGAAACGTTGCCCAGCGTTGTGCCATCTTCACCATCATTAGTATGCTCGACTTTAATAATAGTAGCAATCTCTTATTTCATAGATATTTAAAAACAATTAATTATTTAGGAAATCTGGGAAAGATCAAGCAATTTCACATCAGAATATTTGTTGAAAATTATGTGTAATTTAAATTGAATTTGATTTATAGAACAATTCTTAGTAAATCTAGAAAAATAAAGAGATTGGTTTTTGTTAGGTAATTCACTGACATGCTAAATACAACATTCATTTTAAACTATAAAATTATAAATGTGATGGAAATATTTTAATTAGAGTAAATAATTTCGGGTGAAATCAGATGCAAGCCATGAATTTCACAGTCACTTTAGGAAAAAGTGATTAAATGTGTGGAAGTAATTTAATAATGGAAGTGGGGCAGGGGTGTGGACAGGGCTGGGCTCCTCTGTCATTGCTTGTAAGCCATGTATTTTATCAACATGTCACAGAACAGCTGCTGTTGGATATGATGGGCTTTGCATTCACCAGGAAAATATGTAAGTTAATAATGAAGTTTGAATATTCCTTGCACGTATAATTACATAAAATCTTTGTCATACCATATAAACAAAAATAATGAGCTGATGGAAGTCAGGCTAAATACCTGCCACTCTCTTCTGTTCCAGAGATTATCTCTGGAGCCTCCCTCCCCCCAGTTTTTTAGAAGCTTTTATCTGTATTTTATATAAAGTTTTATTTTTCACTGGGAAACTATGAGGAGAAAATCATTATAAGTCAAACTGACTTGTATTTAAAACCTACACAGTAAGATAGTTATACATATTTTATTGCAATATTAAAACTTCTGTTGCATATCTCATTTCATTGGATACCCAAACATCTCTGGAGAGTGAGCAAGGAGAGATATGCTCTTCTTGTTTTGTAATAGACAAAATTTCAACTACACAACTTAAATATATTTGATAATGCTAGATGGCTAAAAAGAAGTTAGAAACAAGTTAGAAACAGGACATCTAATTTTGTGTTCTTTCTTCTATACTGGCAGAGTGGACCCTTCAAAGAACTCCCAAAATCTACTGCAAATAATAATATTACTATGAGTGAATGCTTGATATATGGCAGTCACTGTGCTAAATGACTATTTGCAATAGGGAGGCATTACTATTCCTTTTTGATTGAAGGAAAAATTGAGGCAATTGATGTTCAGCATCCTAGCAACATGCAAGCCTCCATTGACAGGCACACGGTGGCTATGCATAGGTACATTGGCTGGAATCAAACCTGGGTCTCCCACATGGAAGATGAGAATACAACCACTGAACTACCGCTGACCTCATTTACCTGTTAGTTTTCCCCCAAATAAAGGGTGAAACCCATGAAGTTGAGAATATGAGTTTTATTCCTCTTTGTATCAAATTGTAGCAAAGTGCCCATCTGTTCTAGAATAAACCTAGGTTGAGCAGAAAAAGGTAGGAAAGAATGAGGAGGTGAGCTATAGAGGGAATAAGGTTCAATCTA